TTAGAGGGGAATGAGGAAAACGTGGACCCCAAAGAATTTCAGGGAGAGCAGAGATTACAGAGAATTGTGAACAGATGGGGTGGGGGCGCTCTCCTGAACTACAGTAGAAATGGTCTGATGGGTAAGATGCCCATAAATCAAAACAATCAGTTGTCCACAGTTGGGAATGGTTATCTTCTTGCTGGTTTTGCTATTCCTGGACCCCAAATGCCTCGTAGCTTCCATGATGTTCACGTTTTCTTTCACCTTCCCAGAGACCATGTGCTTCCCATCCAGACAGTCTTGGCAGTGTAAACAAGCACTGCTTGGTCCAGCATTTACCATGGACAAGCTGCCAAGACCTGTATCTTCAGGATGAAGTTCTCATCCTCAAGTTTCTCTCTGTAGATGAATCTGCTGCCAGGGCCATTGTGGTGTGTGACGCCACCACCCTGGCACACGAATCCTGGAATCCTTCTGTGAAAGGAGGAATCCTTACAGACAAACCCTTTCTCTCCAATATTCAGAGCATGAAAGTTTTCTGCTGTCTTTGAAACTTTGTCTGCAAACAGCTCAAAGGAGATGTGGCCCAGGGGCTCGCCATCAGCTAAGATGTCTAAGTACCCAGTGGGGTTGACCATGGTTGTAGCAAGAGGCAACAGGGGACAGCAGTGTCTGCAAAGCCCTATAGATGGTTCTTTAACCAGGTCATCGACATTGTCCAACCAGAATGTTAGGTCTCCACCCAGAACAGGATTCTGTTCTCCTGACCAGGCCCTTCCCCTTAGCGTTTCCCTATTGCCATGCTAACTTTTGAAGAGATCATTTAAAAATCACTTAGGCTCCAGATCGTGGATCAGAGCCCCCAACACTTTTGGCATCTCTGACCTCGGGCAGAGATGAGTCTACCAAAGCGCCCAAGGACTTTTCTGGCCTTTAGCTAAGAAAGAAGTTGGTTACTTATCTTGGGGGTCTTCTCACCCTAAACTACCCAGACAGGTTTTAGCTCCTGTCTTCTTTAGGGTTTCCACTGCTGTGATAAAACATCATGATCACAAGCAACTCGGGAAAGAAAGGATTTCTTTCATCTTATACTTGCAGGTAACAGTCTGTCACTGAAGGAAGTCAGGGCAGGAACTCAGGCAAGGCAGGAACCTCAAGGAAGGAATGGAAGAAGCCATGGAGGGGTGCTGCTTACTGGTTTGTTTTCTTATACACCCCAGAACCCAGGGCTAACACTGCCACTTGAGATATTTTGTTTTTGAGAGAGCCTCTCCATGTGATTGAGGTTGGCCTTGAACTCTCCACCTTGATGACTCAGCTTCACGACTTGTGGCATTCCAGGGGAGCTACCATATCGAGCTACTTGGACTATTTCTTGTATGAGTAAGTATGCATGTACACGCATGTACACAAATGCACACATGCAGCTTCTATTATAGCACACAGCATTTTTAAAATCATCTTTCATGTGACAAATCTAAACATTCAGTATCTTTTCAACATCACTATTTTATTATCTACCTATCACTTCCATATATATACCAGATGAATTTTATTTGTCCTTTTATTTTTATAAGCAATGTAGGCTCTTCTTTTGTGGGGAGCAAGATATGATGGGTAACTTCAATGTTTAATTTGATGAGACTTAGAATCACTTGGGAGATGGGCATCTTTGCAAGTCTGTATATTTATTACATAAATGAGGTCAGGAGGCTGTCCCGCAGTGAGACTGGGATCCTACACTATATAAAAAGACAAAGAGAATTGAGCATAGACATTCATCCATCTTGTCTTCCCGATTGTGGATGCCATATGACCAGTTGCTTAAGGCTCCCACTGCCCTTACTCCCCTGCCATGACGGGCTGCATCTCTGAACTGTGAACCACAGTAACCCTTCTCATAAGCTGTTTTCAGCAGAATATTCTATCAGAGCAGCAGGAAAAGAAAGCAGATCAGATGCAGAGTCACAACATGGTGTCCTGACTGGCCCAGAACTCAACTACAGTGCTGGGATTATGGTTGTAAACCACCCTAAGTGTTCAGCTCTTGTAGAGTTTTCTTTGGAGGAGATACAATTTTCAAGTTACCTCATAAGGGAAATGAGGTGTGATTGACAAGTGAAGGACACACCTGCTGAATGTCTGAGGCAGGCAACTCGAGCTACACTTACAGAACACAAAATGATGTTTTCAGCAGCAGCATCTTTGGCACTCAGAAACTACTGGACAATTTAATTGATGAACCAAAATTTCCCTGGCTACTAATAGGACCAAATGTGATTTCTGTGTTTACTATGATTTTCTATTTTTTTCCGCTTGGTTTTCTTTATTGAGATGAAGTCTCACTATGTAGCCCAGAATTCACCATGTAGACCAGCTGCCCTCTAACTCAGAAATCTGCCTGCTTTTGCCTCCGATGTGCTGGGATTAAATGTGTATTCTACTATAGCTGGCTTCCACATTTTTAAACATTTATTTTATGCAGTTGAGTGTTTTGCCTGTAGGTATGTGTCCCATGTGTGTGCTTTGTGCCTGCAAAGCTTAGAAAAAGTTGTTAGATTCCCTGGAACTGGAGTTATAGATAGTTGTGAACTACCATGTGGGTGCTGGGAACTCTACTTGGGTCCTCTGCAAGAATGGCCAGTGCTCTTAACAACTAGGCAATCTCTCCAGCCCCTACTGTATTTTTCAAATTAACTTTCAAGGGCATCCTTATGTGTGTATCTATATACCCTAGGGAGCAAACCCAGGGCCGTGGGTATGCTAAGCACAGCTGCTCCACTGAGCCATAATCCTAGTCCTAAACAGGATCTGTGTCGCAACACTAATATGTCTGTGTTCTCCAGGACCTATGGTCATATATGCCTAAGGATACTGTCCATCCCTTACCTATCACCACATTCCATACCTCGCCACCAAAATAGTTCAGCTATTTCAATTAGCGTGTGAAACCCTCCATGGATGTCAAAGCCTCACCAGCCTCGTCCACCATCACCATTCACAAATCCTTCCTCCACTCCTTCATCCACTCATCCCTTACTGAACACCAGAACATGCTCAGTATCATCTGGGGCATCAGAGAAACCTGAGTGAAGCTTGAGGGACCTTAGTGTCCAGGAGACAGTGTGAATGAGTATGAACAGCAAGCTGGATGCTGTGGTAGCTTACATGAGAATGGCCTCCATGGACTCGAGTTTGATAAAGCGGTCCCCAGATGGTAGAACAGTTTGGGAAAGATCAGGAGGTGTAGCTTTGTTGAAGGAAGTATGTCACTGTGGGCAGGCTTAGAGGTTTCAAAGGACTAGCTCCAGTCTCAGTGTGCTCTGACTCCTGAGTGTTGATCAACATCCGACTGCTCAGCTGTTCCTGCCTCTGTGTCTTTGCTCCATCATGGACTCTCTCTGGAACTGTAAGCACAATGAAGCACTTTCTTTTCTAAGGTGTCTCCTTCAGTGTTTTGCTACAGCAATAGAAAAAAAACAAGACAGAAGGCAATGGGTTCTGTGTAAAATGATAAAGCAGGGAGGTGGGGGAGGGGGCTCAGGGGTGGGAAGAACACTGCATGCAATCCAAGGAGTCTTCTGCGAAGTGGAGTACACTTCGGATGGCCTTGAGCAGCCAGGAAATCAAGGATGCTGGAACAGGCTGGCCACAGGGAGAGTGACAGGGGTGTGCAAGGTGACTGAAGCAATGACAGCAGGTTGTGCGGAAGGGGGTGTTTAATAGATCCCTGCACAGACTTTGGCTCCTCCTTTGAATGAGACAGAAAGCTTTAAGCCTGTGTGATGAATTGCATTTCCCAAGATAGCTGCTAATGCCTCATCTCAGTGTTTTACAAGATGATCTTGCTACTCTTCTTCATGAGAATACACAAAATGTGATGTACATGCAATGACATACTATTGAGCCTTTAAAATGAGGAGACTCCTGCAACATGAAGTGACTTGAATGATCTTGTAGGACACTGGTACGTAGAACTGCAGGTGTCAACAGACAAATCAGGCCACCTAAGTGTTGACTGTCCTCCAAGCTAAGCAACCACCCTTAGCAAGGGGCAGTTCAATGGCACCCCTTGCTAAAGATCACCACGGCAGGGCTTGCTGTTTGTTGACTCCCCATTACGGAGGAATGGAGAGGGTCACAGGACCCTTAGCTGAGTATCCAGATACTCTGCCTTAATTTCATGTGGTTTGGGGGGGAAGGGTGCTGAAGTATATAGGTGGAGGAAGACTAGGGGAAGTGGACACCATTAAAGGACCATGGGGAAGCCCTCACCCTTGCTGGGCAAAGGCTTTCCAGGTGTGCCCTGTTGAGGGAAGGAATACCCACATTCCTGTAAGTAACCACTCACCAATGTTCTTCGTGAATCAGCAGAAAAAAACTGGCTCCCTAGAATAGACCTTAGCAGAATCATGTCTGTTTGTGGCTGGGACCTTTGGAGAAGGGGTAGATGTTTATGGTCCCCTAACAATGAACTTTAATCACATCAGGCTACCATGAAATTTGCCTACAAAGACTTGGTTTCTAGGCTGTAGCTCAGTGGTACTGTTCCTGCCTACCAGGCATGAAGCTCTGTGTTCAACTTGTAGCACCTGAAACACAGACAACAAACAAGGTCAACACAGAAGCAGATTGTAAGATTCTGCTTACCAAGGGCTTTGGAGTCATGTTGGAGAACTCAGAATTTCAGCTAAGCTAAGAACTGTGTTCAAGAGAAATGCTATAAAACATGAAGACAGCATTTAACAGCCCATTTTAAGTTGTTACAAGGGTGAACTATATGTGCTCTCACCATAAAAACGAAGTGATACATGTTAATTAGCTTGATTTAGCCATTCTATTTGTAGTTCAAGGCCTTAAGCTGGATACCATAAATCACCCATTTTTATTTGTCAACTACAAGCCATCAGCATAGTTGCCAAGATGTTTGAACTCTGGTTGACACATGAAGGCACTAACCCTGGCAAATACTAACTGGAGGCTTTAGTCAGGTGTCTAATAGAAAACAAACAACATGGTTTTCAAGTTTACATTTTATTAAAGTACAGAGTTAACAAGTTTGAGTTTTCTACATAGGAAAAGGCCAGACAATTTCAGGTGCTTCATAGAAAAATTAGCATTGAAAAACACAAATACAAATCCATAATTGGCTTTGTGGCTAATGGGGAAAAAATAACTATTTTAAAAGGTACCAAAATCTAATCATGTCAAAGACTTTTATAAACAAACAGTAGACTTACCACACAGATTGCATTCAAACTCTGCTGTAGCAAAAATGTAACCACAAAATTTGGTTACAGTTGTTTCCAAAAAAAAAATCTTTTTAAAAAAATTAACAGTTATGACTATAAAAATGTTTGTAGTTTTTCCTTTGCAAAGTAAAAAAGTTTAAATCTTTAATAAATGGAAACGAAATGATCCTCTTATAATTGTTATAAATAGCTCTCAAGACATATATTACTCATCTGCTGTAATCTTTCTTTACCGGAGAGAATTTCCCAGGATCCCAAAGGATTACCTTAAAGACTTCTATCACTTTCCTCACATGAATGTGGTTAAATTTCTCGAAGTCAATTGGGCGAACGCATTCTGGCTCTGCCCTTGCCCAACTAAAACAAAATTAAATACACCTCTTTGGTAAAAGCCAAGTGTTTCAGCCTTTCAAAATAATTGTCTCTGTGAATGTTTCACTGATGGAAAATAGAAAATGAGCTAAAGCCCTCGTGTCGGCTCTCCTGTCTACTGACGTCACCGCAATGCCAGAGAGCTCATCTCTGCAGGAAATGAAAATGTGTACTAGTGAGTAAGTCACAGAAGAAACCTTGAGAGTCTATGACCAGGTGGCAAGCTCGTGTCCCAGGAGGAGGCCCAGGGTCCTCTCTGGTGTGTGTCTTCCTTATGAAGCCCTTTCGCTTCTTGGCAGGATGTGGGATATGCATTGGCTTATGTTTCAGCACATGAACAAGAGCCCCTGCTTAGAAAGGCAATGGAAGAAGAGAAGCCCAGGACATTTCAATACAGGCTCTGGAGCTCTCTTTCTAGGGTAACATGAAGCACCAAGGATGGCATGAGTACATCATTGGATAAAGGCAGAGGGTGACAATTTGGGAAGGGGGCAGTTAATACTGGAGTGAAGTCACCCGTGGAACTGGAGACATGACACTATGTCTCCCGTTGGCCATTCCTTATGGGATTCAGAACCCCAAAGTCTCAATACTCCATGTCACCCCCCAACTCTTTCCACACCACAGTTCACCCACTACATAAAACTTCCCCAAACCTCTGGAGAACAATTCATCTGCTGACTTCCCAAGAAACCCAGATCAGCTACCCAGCACCACCAAAACTTGACTCAGTAATGACATGGGAACCAGGTATCTGTGAATGAGATTCCCAGGAGAACCCCCTCCCTGGCATAACTAACGTTTTACTCATAAAAACGAGAGGGAGAGAACACGTATGACTTCTAAAACTCCACCTCCGTGGCTAAGGGTCAGACGGGTGGCTTCAAAGTGTGCATTTTATAGTTCTGCTCAGGTACTGCAGGAAGCAAAGGTCTGTTAGCTTTAAAAGCTACCAGTGGATCAAGCAAGCTAACATTGCTGCTGTTATCTCAAAACAATGGCACACTTTCCAGTTTTCTCAAGTCTCACAAACAATAGCATTCTTAAGCTCACAAACAGGCTTCTACCTGAGTAGTTTCTCATCGATGATCACAAATATCACCTGTTTTGAAATAGGATCTAGCTGGCCTAGAAACCACAGAGATCCCCTTGCTTTAGCTGAGATTAAAGGTTCAGTTCTTACCTATATCTTACTTAGAAACCTTTCAACTCAACTCTGACCATCAATCTAATACCATCAGCTGAGAGTAAAGAAGGGGAAGCCAGCTCTTCCTCCTGTGTGAGACCTAACTTCTGGTGGGTAGTGCATGCACTCAACCAAGACTTAGGCAGCTGGAAAGTGAGTGGGGCTTGGTTAGTTCAGAGGGAAGCCACGGGGGCTGCCACTGGGACTGTCTGGGTTTCCCTGAGCTGCTTTCCAGAGAGGAAAAGGGGCCAACAAAGGCCAGCCCAGGAATGTGTGGCCTTGTCAGCCTGGCCATGACCTGGTATGAGGACCAGTTCAAAAGTCACCACACCTGGCTGCCAGTCTCAGCAGAGACAGACCTAGGACAAACAATCCTGCTCCCACCAGCACTGAGTCCCCTCGGCCTCCTCTCACAGCACCTCCCTCAGGCACAGCAGGGGCCACTTTCTGAACCATTCCCAGCTGAGGAGGCTCCCATTCCTACTGGATTAAGTAGACTTGTTCAGAGTTAGTGTATAGCTATTCCTTTTGTGATTCTCCTGAGCTGTCTCCGAACTGCTGACAGGCCCTGACCTATTCCTCCTATACAAGGATTATGATGAAGTTTACAGACAAGGTGTCCTCATTTGTGTATTTTTAAGACAGGATCTCAAATACTGTAAAGCAGGCAAGTTCTCCAAAGAATTCACCACTATTTCCTTCCCCTGGGTCCTTTTAGCAGGAGGGCACAGTAGTGAACAGAAATGAAGACTCTGACATTTTGGCACGTGGGAACCAGACTTAGGTGAGTCCCAATTCTGCCTGACTTGTTCAGATAGGGACTGGGGAAATCTCCTCCCTCACCAAGAACATTGGCACTAAAATGCATACCTGTGAGCACTGCTTTACCAAAACCTATCTAGGAATTTGTGTGGATGTAATCATAGCCTTGTGAGATGCCCCCAACCACCTACTTTTGCAAGGCAGTCTAGTTCCACACTACCACAGCTGTCTAGCCAATCTGTCTGGCCAGCTGTTGGAAGCTGCCTGGGATCCTCAACCCAGCCCTTCTCTACTTCAAGGAAACCATGCTGTTGACATTGGGGGCACTGTAAATGAGGAAGGCTTCGTAGTGGGGGAGAATCGGCTGACCTTAACACTCGGGTATGGCAGGCTGCAGTAAAGAAGCAATGTTTTTTGTTAAGATCCTTAAAGCATTCCTGTTAATGACACACACAAGTAAGAACTGTCATCCTCCACTGCTTGGGCAAAGACAACAGCATGCATCTTGTACAGTCACATGACCATCACCATGAACAAGTACAGGATTACTGCAGTGACTTGTATTGGGTAGGGAAACATGGTGGAGCATTCCATGAAGGTGAGAACAAATTGTGCTTTTCACATTATTACAAACACTACCCTCGACAAGAATGAAGGACTTCTGCCAAGGGCAGAGAGGACAAGAAGGCCGTGACTCCCAGCATCATGACCTCAATAGAAAATGCTGTGGGCAGGGACGTGTGGAAGTAATTGAGGGTGGACTCAAAGGAGAGACTCCCTCTGTACTCTGCATAAACAGGGAGCTGTGAGTGACAGAGGTCAGACCCCATCTTAGGCTGAGCACTCAGTGTTTGTTGTTGCTTCTTTATGCCAAGGATAAGCATGACAGGCCACACAAGGATGAGAGCGACAGGCCACACAAGGCCATCTTCATCCCTGGGATGGATGCTATGCCCCAAGCTCTGCCCTGGTTAAAACACGCCCTGGAAGAACAGCAACAAAACTTTAGCTAAATCTTGGGTAAGGCATAAAGAGATAATGGCACCTACCAGCTTGGCTAAAGATTTCAATTCCTGTAGATCAAGCTGGTAGTTTCCTTTTGGATTTTACAACAAGAAGCTAATCAGGAGATTTAGCTTGTTTCCTGAAAGCTTTGTCAGACCTACTTAAGCTATCGAGGGGATGTCAGCGTTTCACAGGGCACCAGTTGCTGCTTAAACCCCTGGTGCTCATGTTCAAAGGGCAGCCCTCCAGAGCGGGCACAGGCCTGCTGAGCCATGGGGCACTTGGAGATCCTCACACAGAGAACTGCCTGGAGGGACAGCAAAGAGGGGCCACCAGGGTCCCCAGGTACAGCAGCACACATATCCAGCAGGAGGCCATCTTGACCCAGAAGATGGACCAGCTCCCGACAAAGAAAGTCTCAATGGTGGCATTTTCGTAGCTGTTGAGAAACAGAGCAGCGGTAAGAACACAAAGATACTGAGGTACTACTGGCCCCTGGCAGACTTCAACTTTCTTTCTTAGCTAGTAATGGAGTTCTAACTCATATACATTTAAAATGTATCATTTGCTGGCTTTTCCAGCACTTCCAGGCTTTTAGAATTGTTGCTGCAGTCAGTTTTAGAACATCCTCCCTCTCCCACACATCCTGCATCCCCTAGCTGCCCTCCCTTCCCACCATCCTCCCGTCTATAGGATTTGTCTTTTTTAGGCCAATTCATGTAAATGCAGTCACACAGTCTCTTATGACTGGCTTTAAACATAGCATATTGCTTCCAAAGCTCTTTGCACTGCACATGTATCAGCATGGATTGGGCATCCCTTAGCTGAGAAGCCTGAGACCAAACTTTAAGAGTTTTTCGCTCTGGAATATATACACAGATGTTATCAGGTGAGAAAATCCAAAATTGGAAATGGTAACCGTTCCATGCCTTGTCAGATCTGAGAACATTTTGGGGTTTCTGGATTGGGGACACTTCACTCCTTCTTACTGATAAATCGTATCTTACTGTGTGGAATTAGCACACTTTGCTATCTCTTCGTCAGTTATGGACATCTGAGCGACCCCTGACTTCTGCGTTGTTATGAACTACTCTGACATGAGCATCTGTCTATAACTTTTGGTTACTCTTCCTTTTTGTCCTAGATCTATACTTAGGAGGAAAATTCCTGGATTATACACTAGGACTTTGTTGAACCATGCAAGAAATTGCCAAATTATATTTTCAACTGTGGCTTCATCATACATTCCTATCAGCAATGTAAAGAGGGCTCCAATTTCCACCTATGGCCGATGTTTACTACCATCCTGTCTTTATGAGTTTAGCTCTGTCCATACTTTCCTAGCTGTCTCAAGCCAAAATTCCTCCAGTTTTAAAAGATCACTAGGAAACAACAAATTTGTCCCTTCTTCGGGAAGAATGTCCTCCAGGAAGAGTCTGCTGACTCTAGGCTCTAGACTGCAGCTCCTGTCCCCTCACGTCCCAGCCTTCAGCACTCACCATCTGACATGGTCAAGGACTTGGGCCATGCTCTGCCAATCCCACTAGAGCTTAATCTCTAGTGCTTACATCAGTGCAGCACAGAGGAGCCACCCGAACGCCTGCTAACTAACAGTCACACACACAGATACAACTGCAAGTCTGGCTCTGTATGAATCTCCGTGTAGGAAACACCAAGTCTATTAGGCACTGGCAAAATTAAAAACTGGAAAGAATAAGAGATATATATTTTGAAGTAGGAAAATCCCCACTGTGTTAGTCTTTAAGATAATCTTTCTTCTATTGCTAGGACAGTGCTCTCCTCATTTGCAATGTGGACTTAGCCTTTCCTGTCTTGTTTGCTCTGTTTCTCAATACAGGGTTGGGACCCAAGGTCTCTCACATACTGAGCTTGCCCTCTGCCTCTGAGCACTGACTTAACTGCAGTGAGAACATTCAACGTCTCAGAAAGCCTTCTGGTCTACCAGGAAGAACGTCGGAGTGTTGGCTACAAAGACTAAGGAGAGTATAGGTGACTCCACACTTTAGAGAACCATACTGACATTATTGTTTTGGGGGTTTTTTTTGGGGGGGTTGCTTGTTTTTGTTTTTTGTTGTTGTTGTTTGGGGTTTATTTGTTTTGTTTTTTTGTTTGTTTGGATTTTTTTGTGCTTCTCAAACAACTCTTTTCCTGTACAGAAATGGTTACACTGAGATTGGTCTAAGGCATTCAGACAAGCCACTCACTGGAACCAGCTGGTCAGGGTCATCATCATGTAGAGGGAAGCCAGGAAGAAGACAAAGTGGAAATAGGAGTAGCTGTAGACGGTGCCTTTCTTCTCGTCATAAATGACCCTGGGTCCCTTCTTGACATTCTGCTGCTCTTCAGTGTCTGTAGATGACAAAGGACGCCCAAGGGCAGTGGTGAGTCCACCCAGGGTCAGCACTACTGCAGCGGCCGGCCGTGCGCAGTCCTAATGTGCCGCTAAGGAGGAAAAGCCGCAGAAGCCACCCACAGCTCAGTCTCCCCAGGAACGTGCTTGACTAGAGGAGTTAGCAAATACATTTTAGTGGGGCAGAAGAAAGAAAGCCTTTGAAGACATAAAGAATATTAGAGTTGGGCAGTGGTGGCACACACCTTTAATCCCAGCACTTGGGAGGCAGAGGCAGCCAGGTCTACAGAGTGAGTTCCAGGACAGCCAGGGCTACAGAGAAACCCTATCTCAAAAAAACAAAAACAGAAACTCAGTGGAGAGAGTAGCCCATAAACTTTCACCCAGGAACTTTCCCTTCTGTGAAGAAAAGCAAGCTGAAGAAAAGAAATGGCACCCAAATGAGGTGTGGGACCTCTGGCATTTTCTTATCATCCCTTTAAAAAAACATATACACACTGTATTTTCTAACTCTCTTAATTTAGATATGAACCAAAACATACAGTGATTTTTCTCTACCAGAATGCCAACAGAACAACCTGAGAGAGATGTGAGAATACATAAACAGTAAACCAGCTCTGGAACAAGCTATTTAGGCACAAAAGTAGTACCCAAATTGCAAATGCCTACAAAGAGAAATCCCAGCCTGCAGGGCCACAGTCAGGCCCAGAACAGCAGCACGTACCTTCTCCATCTGGACCAAAACAGAAACAGCACCGGGCTACCTGTGAGAACAAAAGCAACTGAGTCAGATGCTGGTTTTCTATGTCCCTGGCACTGTATGCTGCCCAAGTGGAGAAGCTTTGACCAGAAGTACGTGTTAGTGCAAGAGATTTGGCTAAGTGTCTGTCCCCAGATATACTGGGTACAGCAACAGGGACAGCCCTCATGGGTACAGGGATGTTCTAGCCAGGTACCCTTCAAAGGACCTAGTGCTCACCCTAGCTATCCTCTATATCTGGGAGCAAAGCCTTGTGTGCCAGCTCCTTTTGGCACTGTTTCAGCTGTAGTCCTGCCTTGTCCCACAGCAGGCCCTTTCTGGGTATCCTCCATTAAATGACTGACCATGGAAGGCAGATAAAGGCCCAGCTACCAGGCCATGGAGAACACTCTGAGGCACCACATATGTGCATGCCCTGGGGTAAGTGCAGCCAATACTGTCCTTTAACTTTATTTATACTATGCCTAATTCTGTCTCCTTCCTCTCCCCTTCCTCTCTTCTGCATGTGCTGATCCCTAATAAATTACCCACCTGACACGCTCTGCTTCGGTTCCTACCTGTGCACGACTTGGACTGAAAGATGCAGCAAACAAGACCATGCTCCTGCCTCACATTTTCTACTGTGAGGCATGCTACTCATCAATTCTGCCGCAGGGGTTGGGATTACGATTATGCTCACAATTGTTGACAGTGAAATCAGGCAGACTAAACAGCAGCCAGAAATCATCAAACTAGCTTCAAGACAGAGCTGGGACACATGCAGAATGAGACCTTGGTATCTGTGATTCACAACAGTAAGTGGCACGTGGTGCTCAGGGCACTGAAGCTGATGAGTGTGAACTGGGAATGGGATATGTCTGAAGGGCGGAGTAGAGGCAGCTGGTGGGCAGGGATGGCTGCACTCCTGCCCGAGCACTCAGGAGGCAGAGGCAGAAGAATCCCAAGTTAACGGATGGGCCAAGCAGTACAATGAATGCAAGGCTAGCCTGGGAACTGCAGTGAATTCAAAGCAGCCAGACTGGTTCAGGCTAGTCTGGGTTATGTAGTAAGAGCCTTTCTTATAATCAAAACCAAATAAACCATCAGGCTGCTGATCTGGCTGAGGATACAGAAGGGTGGAATACTTGCTTCTTTAGTACATTTGAATTTTATATCGAATGTCTTACTTGTTCAAAACAATAAACTCAAAGAAAAAGAAACAAAGTGCATTACATGATTGCAGGAAGACTGATAAACAGAGTAAGAAAGAACAGAATGACAACACTTGCCAAGACCATCTGGGAAGCAAGGTTCCTTCCTATCTCTAGTGGAAGAGAGCTGAGCTCCAAAAACACCAGAGAGCCAGAGCTGAGGGCCAGGAGAACAGCAGCCTTTAGTCCCACAAGTCCCGCTGGAGGCCAAGCCTTTGCTTCCTCCTGCTCCACAAGTCTTGGATCCTGTGAGGCAGTCTACAATTCACTAAGTGAGTGGGCCCACTGATTCATGCTGAGGTCCCCTTTCCTTTGAACCCTAAGCTACCACAGAAAATGTGACCTTGGTCTTTCAATGGCCATGATGTGGGGGCGTGAACCCAGTTGCTCAGTAGCAAACAGTGGGCGTCTCCTCCCTCAAAGGAGAAGAGCAACTTTCTCTCTTAAATCTAACCTGGGGACTTGCTGCTGTTTGAGCTTGAAGGCTGTACACAAAGGAGACACTGAAACCGTAATGCTCACTCCCCTAGCAGGTGGCCACCCAGTCAATGGCAGAAACAAAGGCACAACACTGTGTCTGCAGAGCCTTCTCCTCTGTAACAGACAGCACAATTTCCTCCTGTAAGCTGCAGAAAGAGCTGGTGAATGAAGCTGGCAGGGTAACAGGCCTTCATAATGGTTCTCTATGTCTAGGTTAGGTGCTGGAAAGGCCATCCTAAATGGCCAGCTGCAAAGCAAAGTGCCCATCCATATCTGGAAAGACACCAGGGCTTGTCCATCCAGTAAATGTTATTTGAATGGAGCCAGTGGCCTGTCGCCAGGCAGTCAGCTGCAGGGACCTGGGACAGCAGCTGTGCTCCTAGGCAATGTGCACTCAAGAATATGCACCCAGGGGCCACATCCTGTTAAATGGAAATGCTTTTCTCTCTGTAAAATGCAAAGAACACTGGGCTTTTGTGAAGACTATGTGACACTACACCGTTTTAGAACGGTACCAGCACCTGGAAGTGCTAAATGACTGAGCCATCACTGAAGCCCCAGGTCCTGGGCAGCCTGGAGCTCACAGAAAGATTTTCCTGCCTCTGCCTCCCAAGTGCAGGAATTAAAGGCATGTGCCACCACCGCCCTGGCTGTCAAGTCTCATCTTACCTGCCCTGTAGGTCGAGTTTTCTGACTATGGGTTACGTTTCACCAAAAACCAGAATTTTTTTTGACAATCAGCTAAATATTCCCTCAGACCTTGACATGCAGGTGAATGGCCTCACCCATGTGCTTGCAGTTCTGAATTCCTCCCTGAATGACACAACCGTGTGCTGGAACTGACCCATAACTGAGGTGTCAGTGTTCCCACCGTCTGTGCAGTGTGTGTGGAGCATTCTCAGTCCCTCCCTGCCTGTCTGTCTTCCTCCAGAGCACTGATCCATGATCCCACAGCTCTGCTGCATGTGAGGAAGACAGACGGGCGTCAGGCAGGTCAGTGGTTTAGAACAGAAAGAACACGTGTATTCTATTATAACCAAAGAGAGTAAGCAAGCGGTAGCTATGCAAGGTTCCCCAAGTCTTGGATTTGAGGTGGGTGCAGGGTGCCAGGCCGGTGGCTAACATTGTTGATGGAAAATCGAGAATTCTTTCATTTTAACATATAGAACAATAGTTCTTTCTCTATATAAAAGTCTTATTCTCAAACAGAAAACAGAATTATGAGTGCCAAAAATATATCAATACTATGCAAAGGAAGATTAGTTTTTTCACTGGGCAGGCTTAAGGGCAGGTCCTATGCCCAGGTGGAGATGGCCAACACAAAACAAACTCAGTGGTGACTTTAGAGACACCTCATCTGAGCATCTCCTACCTTACTCGTGGTTTGCTCATCTGTTATGGTTCCCGATTTTGTGTTTGTATGGGCTTTGTGTATGTGCACGTGTGTCTCCATGATTGTTTATGTGTTTCTTGTGTGTTTTCTCTCTCCTGCGTTTGCTTCGGTTTTTTGTTATGTTTGTTTTAATTGGCCCGAGAGAAAGAGAGAGAAGGAAAGAGAGAGGGGGGAGGGAGAGAGAGGGAAAGACAGAGAGAGGGAAAAAGAGGGAAGGGGGGAAAGAGAGGAAGTGAGAGGAAGAGAGAGAGAGAAAGAGGAAGAGGGAGAGAGAGGGGGAGGGAGAAGAGACACCATAATTGGAATATTCTGTATGAAAAACTTACTTTTAATTAAAAGAAAAAAGTCACCAGCACAAAGGGCTCTCCTGAGAAACGAGCCCTGAGCTGAAGACGGAGAAGGGCCAGGCACTTACTTCCAGCTCAGGAGCTCCATACCGCCTCTGCAGAGCGTCTGAGCTCGACCTTGTTGTCGATGTCAAACTAGGAAAAAGCAAAGTCCAAGCGCACAGTGAGAAGCTGTCATCTGGAGTCGAGGGGAAAGCAGCCTGCAAGGCTTGCTGGTGCCCTCAGCTCTGGGCAGCCCCTGCCCTGCCATGCCCTCCCCTGCCCTGCCCTGTCCTCTGACACTTGCATGAAAATGTCTCCATGTGTGGATTTATACCTTGCATAAAGGTATCTAGGTGGGCAGGTGTGCTCCGTCTTTCTCCCTTGCTCTTACTTCCTAAGTAATGAGGTCTTACATTATTTACACTATATCAGGCACACCATCTAGAAACAAGTCAGCACATATGGAGGATGTATGTAGATCTAATGTAAAAATACTGCCTATACCGCTTTATATATAAACTTGATTTGGTGTCGGTGGCAGGGTGGGGTGGCATGGGGTAGCGTGTAGGATCCTGGAACCAGTCCCTCGCAGCAGGCACTGAAGGGTGAACACAAGCTACTGTGATAGTCCACTTGAGAGTCAAGCTTGACGGCTGATTCTCCACCTATCCTTTTAAGTACACTGCATTAATCACTGCATTCAGACACAGGTTTGCAGATATCTTCAGTCTCCTCTCAACATGGCTTCTTGCTGCTTCTCACGTTATAACTTCACCTTTATCCCCACCCCACTCACTTAGAGGTCAAAAAGTTATTCGTTTTGTTTGTTAAGTCCAGGCAATGTAGCTCAGCTAGTAGAGTGCCTGCATAGTACACCCGAAGCTATGGGTTCAGTTCCCACCTCCCCATAAACCGTGTGTGGTTATAAAGACATGTAATCCCAACTTGAGAGGAAGAGGTATGAAGATCAGCCATTCAAGGCCATCCTTGACTACACAGTGAATTTGAGACCAGCCTAGTCTACAGAACACCGGCTCAAAATTTGTCCCTACCTTTCCTCCATATCTGGAGACATAAAATGATCTGTAATATTGACTGACAAAGGTAAAAGAGAGAAATGAACACATTTCCCTCTTATATAAAAACATGGAAGCATTTTAAACAAAAATATACTCAACACTTAGTCTAACTTTATACATGTATTCTGCAGATAATTCCTAAAGGCCATATGTGCTGTGTGTGGCAGCCCCTGTTCTGAGCATCAGGGCCTCTTCTGTGAAAAGGTAGCTCTTCTGCCTCACACAGAACCAAGTTCAAGGGGACACAGGAGTGACTGCTGATGCTCCTGTAGTTAGGCTCCTGGGACAGGCAGACATTAAGATTCATGCCCACCAAATCAACCTCAACACCAGGAGGCAGCAGGATCTTGTCTGTCCCCTCTCGGTCTCTTGTCCAAAGAGAAAAGATGTAAGTGGGCTGTGGGGAAGCAATAGAAAGTCTCCTGGAAAAGAGGTCCTCAGGATCCAGACCCCAGCACACAAGTGTTCCACCCTACTTCCTGACTGGTCAGGGAAGGACAAAAACTTCCCAGTGGCCATGTTCCCAAGGAACACACTCATCTGGTTATGTACTTAAGACTTCCTCATGCCAGTTATATGAAAGCACTTCCATGAATACTCCATAAATTCTTTGGAATAAAATTTTAGAAAGACAAACCTTTTGATTCAAGTACCTTGGACATTTCCAGCATCAGACAGCACTAAAGTAGGGAAGGCTCTCCTCCTTTTATTTAAAACTACTTACATCCAGTTCACCCTCAGGGACATCCTTAGGGACTCTGCATTTTCCTACATGCAGAGTAGATACAACCACAGTTAAAAAGACTATCCCCATAAAACTCATGAAAATTATTAAGGAAAACATGGTTTTGTAAACCCTTAAAGTGCCCCCCCTGTTTCTGTCTCTCACTCTCTCTCTCTGTGTCTCTCTGTGTGTAATATGCATGCATGTGTGTACTACCGCATCCACGTGAAGGACATGTGAAGACGGCCGTGGGCATAAGTCCTTGCCTGCACTTTGGTTGAGACAGGGTCTCACGTTGTTTCAGGTCTTCTGTTGAGCTTCCAGAAGTTCTCCATCTCCCCCTCGCCTGTCTCACTGTACAAGCATGAGCTATGTCTGAATTTATGTGAGTTCTAGGAATTTGAACTCAGATCTTTGAGCTTGCATATTAAGTACTTTACCCACTAAGCTAGCTCCCAGACCCACCCACCCACCCACCCATCCACCCATCCATCCACCCACCCACCCATCCATCCACCCATCCATCCATCCATCCACCCACCCACCCACCCATCCATCCACCCACCCACCCATCCATCCACCCACCCACCCATCCACCCATCCATCCATCCATCCACCCACCCACCCACCCATCCATCCATCCATCCACCCACCCACCCACCCATCCATTAATTGATTCATTCTAGGCACAATCTTACTAAGCAGTCATTGCTGGTCTGAAACTCACTATGTAGTCCATACTAGCCTTGAACTTATAGCAATTCTCTTGCCTTAACATCCTGAGTAATGGAATTACAGATGTCAGCCACTATACTCTGTGGTAGAGCAAGGCTGGGGAGAGAGACAGCAGCCCCAAGTGATGCACTCTGTCACCATTCAGAGAACAGCAATGCCACACACCTGTTCCTTGTCATCATTCACATATCCACCAAAACACTGCCTTCCTTCCCTCCTCTCTAGAAATCATGGCACTACCCCAACCTCTGCCGTACTGTCAGATCAGTGGACAGTGCAAGTGCCACTTGAGCACCTGCTTTCATTCACTGTGGCATTAGCCTAAGTCCCACAGGTCCCAGAAAATCCCAAGAAAATGCCAGACTTTGCTTCTGGAGATCACAGACTAGAAAATGGCCAGGACAGGCCCAGGACACAATCCATGCCTCCATCCAGCCTTTGTGTGACAAAAGTCAACCGTGTTCCTACAGAGCTGTATGATTAGTGATTCAAAGAGGACCAGAATTCTGTGGGAGCCAGGGGAGGTCACCCCATGTTCCTGATGCACAGCCATGAAGAGTTCTGGCTAGTTGCTGAGGCAGTGGGAGGATTTCTGAAATAAAAGAGCAAACCAGCACCATTCCTTTCTCCTTAAAGAAGAGTGGCAGGCCTAGACTGTGCTGAGAGAACACTGCTCCTCAGTTCGCCACGGGTTCTCAGCCTAAGCCAATCATCTTTACCAGAACACCATACCCACCTGGTCCACATGGCATGCTGGATAGCTGTGAACATCTTATTTTGAACTAGGAAGTTCCTCAGCAGTGAATATATTCTTAGCTTTCCCATTTTATATTCAATGTGTATTTTACTAGGTGGTTTAACTACTAAAGGTTATTTCTTTTCTCTTAAGAATAACTAAAATGAAAATAGTCAAGGAATACTTTATAACACAAACGCTGTAATCTAATTGTGCAGGTCACTCAGCTTAGCATCCTGGCATCTCTGGGGTGATCTTTGTCACAACAGAAAGCAACTAGAACAGAAATTGATACCAAAGACTTGGCTATTGCTGTGACAGACCTGACCATGTTTTCTGGGAAGGCTTGTGAAATATTAGGAACTTTGGGCTGAAAGACCATTAGCACTCAAAGCTTAAATTGATTAATGTAGGAGAGCCCAAGCCACTGTAGGCAGTGCTACCCTGAGGCAGGTGGCTCTGGGTAGTACAAGAAAGCAGGCTGAAGAGCAAGCCAGTAAACAGCATTCTCCCATGGTCTCTGCTTCAGCTCCTGCCTTCAGGGTCCCTCCGTGTGTTCCTGCCCTGCCCTCCTCTTCAGACAGGTTGCAAACTGTAAGGTGAAACAAACCCCTCTCTCCATTGATTTGGTCACTGTCTTAGTTGATGTTTCTATTGCTGAGATAAAACACACTTCAAAAGCAACTTGGAAGGGAAGGCTTATTTCAGCTTTCAGATCATTGTTATCACTGAGGCACGTCGGGGTAGGAGACAAACAAGGCAGGAACCTTGAGGCAAGAGCCATGTGCAGAGGGGGGCTCCTCACTAGCTTGGTCTTCCGGACTTGCTCAGTTTACCTTCTTATAGTCCCCAGGACCACCTGCCCAGGGGTGAAACTGCCCACAATAAGCTCTCATATCACTGTCTATATAGAAAATGTACCACAGGCTTGCCCACAGGCCAACCTGATGATGACATTTTCTCAGCTGAGGTTCCCTCTTTCTAAATGACTACCAGTGTCTAGTCAGGACAGCCATGTTTTTTGGGTTTTTTTTGTTTTTGTTTTTTGTTTTTTATCACGGTAACAGAAAACAATCCAGAAGTCTCTTGGGAATCAGGAGCCAAAATAAATCTCTCCTCCCTTAAGACTTTTTTGATCAGGTGTCTTGTCCTAGTGAAAATAAACCAGTTAACTATGTAAATGTCATCTCTCCACATGGCTAACAAAGGAGGCTCAGCCCAAGTTTCCTGACATTGAGGTAAAGAGTTGTAGGAACACACTCCACTCTTCACAAGCACAAAGGCCTCCAGGGTCCAATCCAGTTTGACAGCTTCAGCTGGAAATAAAATAACAATCCCAACCTGGAGACCAAGGGAGGAGTTAGAGGCCTGGTTATGTCCAGTTATGTCCAGTGGGAGCTAGAGTTTGTCACAGGTTTCAGGAGAAGGTGGGAGCAGCTGGACCAATAGAGCAAACGCTTAGAAAACCTTCGCAGATGGGCTCTCTTGGGGTCCTGGCTGGGATGCTTCTTCACAGGGATTCTAGAGAGAACCCTGCCAGGAATCGAGGCTTGGACAAGACAACACAAAGGAAGTGTATTCTCAGGAAGTTCCCTGAGGACTCAGGGCAATCATGGCACCTAAGGAAGTATCTGGGAGACAAGGATCCTCCAGAGAACTGGGAGGAGCCAAGGGAGCCAGGCTTTCTATCACAAAATGTCACCCCAGACAATCCTGGTCTTACACTGGTGATTTTTTTCTCTTATAATCTGGTGCTCTAGTCTGTACAGTTTCCACCAAGAAATTAACCATTCCTAAAATCATTCAAATAACAGCTTCGATGCAGACACTGTGGCCTCATTTGAGAACATTCCCCAGCCTCTCATGCTTCTTTAATGTAAACGCTGGAAAGAGATGGAAAACCCTTAATGTTACTGGTGCCTTCCCTTAGCAGCAGGCCTTTTCTTCAAGGCCCCATGAAGTCTGAATTCAGACCCCTGTGATCTTGAAGCCAAACCATTTGTTTATAACATTCTCCAAGCTAACTCCTCCTGGTGCTGCAAGGGGTGATTACAGGAAGCATCAATCACCCCACATGATGCTTAGCCAACTCCCGAGAGTGTGTTCAAGCCTGTGTGCTACAGAAGCATCCACGAGCAGCAGGTTACACCCTGTGCAGGCTGCTGCTTTGTCCCAGCATTCCACTGGCCATTACACTTCTGCAGTTTAATTACCAGCATTCAGAAAACGTTTGCTGTTGGCATTTAGACAGATTTCTAAATAGCAGCTGTCAGCCTTGAAAATTAATGTCTTTGGGGAATATCAAACTACGCTCTGCCAATCTCCACTGTGATGGCGAAATTCTCAGACTATCTCTTGAAAATGTGATCTTTCTGCTTTATGCTTGGCTTTTGCTGTTTTGTTTTTATAATGCTAGGGATTAGACCTAGGGTTTTATACATATAGAATGGTAGGCAAATTCATTTCCACTAAGCTAAGCACAAAATTAAAAGTGCTTCTTGTTTCCGTAGGTGGGTTGGGGCTTTTAAACCCAGATCCTCACAAAGGCTGTGTGCTAAGTCATGGTGGCTTTATGGGCTCACTGGAAGTGGCCTTTGACTTGAGTCCCTCTTACTGCTTGTGTGTGTGTGTATGTGTCTGTCTGTCTGTCTGTCTGTCTATCTGTGCGCACACACCTATATGTGTGGCTATGCCACTGAGCCACACTCCCAGTTCTAAAAGTGACATAAACAAAACTAGAGTTTTCTAAATTGTTGAGGCTAGCCTCAAACTTGTAACCCCCCTGCCTCAGTCTCCCATATTAGCTGGGACGAAAGGCATGCACCAACATACCTAGCTGTAAAAGAGAGTCTTTACAACTCTTAGAAGCAGGAGACTATCTGAATGGGTAAACATTCCACACTGTGAGACACCCCACAACTGTCAATGTCACATTCCACACTGTGAGACACCCCACAACTGTCAATGTTACATTCCATACTGTGAGACACCCCACAACTGTCAATATATGCAGTGCACCCCACTGGTGGCTGCAGCAATCTAAACTCCAGGCTAGCTAAGGAACAACCACATTCCCCCCAGCTTTACTGGACATGACTTTCAAAGACCAGTATTTTATTTTGTTAAATATCCTTGTAATTTCTTCTGATAATGAACCGTACCTCACTGCAAGTGAGCACACAAACCAAAACACCAAAACCGGAAAACGAAGGGAACTGTTACTTCTCTCTAAGGTCATTACTACCACAGCTCTGGCTGTCTCTTCCGGGGAGTTTCTGGGTTTGTTTGATTCTTTTTTAAAGATTTATTTTATGTGTATGAGTGTTTATATATCTGTGCACCACGTGTACGTCTGATGGCCACAGAGAAAAGAGCATTACAGCTGGAGTTATACATGACTGTGGGCTGCCATGTGGGTGCTGGGAACTGAACCTGGATCCTCTGCAATAGTATCAAGTGCTCTAATCACTAAGCTACCTCTCCAATACCTAACCCTGGGAATTTTTATAAAGAAAGAATATTTGATTTTTTAAAGAAATGATCTTTACAACCTATTTCTCTCTTGACTGACTAATATTCTTGAGATTTTTATTTTTTTATTTTGTGTGTATGAAAGTTTTGCTTGCACGTACATCTGTACAGCATGTGTGTGCAGGGTCCTTGAGTCCAGAAGAGGGTGTCAGATTCCTTGGAGCCGGAGTTGCTACAGCTGTTAGTTACAACAAAAACTGGAGCTGAGACTCCAGGGGAGCACTGCTTGCCGGGGAGCACTGCTTGTTGGGGAGCACTGCTTGTTGGGGAGCACTGCTTGCCACGGAGCACTGCTTGCCTGTTGGCCCCTCGTGGCTTGCTCAGCCTGCTTTCTACTTCAACTACCTGCCCAGGGATGGCACTGACCACAAGTGAACTGGGTCCTTGTACATCAATCATTAATCAAGAAAATGAACCTAAGGCTGGACCATGGGCCAATCTGATGGTGGTGTTTTCTCCAAGATCCTTTTTTTTCAGATTACCCTGGCTTGTTTCAAGCTGATAATCAACTATCCAGAAAGGAAAGTGGCTGCATGAGGTACAAACTCACTGAAAATGGTCATGGACTTGACTGCCCCTCACTGTTTCCTTTTAATTTTGTATAGGTCTGTGTGTGTGCATGCACACATACACATGTGAGCACGGAGAGGCCAGCACATACTGGGTATCTTCCTCAATCTCTCCTGCCTTACTCTCGAGACAGGATCCCTTACTGAACCTGGGGCTCACTGGCTAGGTTGGCTGGTCATCAAGTTGGGCATCACCTGTCCACATCCCAGCACTGGGGTTAGCGGCGTGGGTGACAAAGCTTAGCTTTTATCATGGGCACTGGAGATCTGACTTTAGATCTCTGAACTTACACAGCAAGCCCTTTACTGATTGAGACATCTCCCCTCACTTCTCTGTTTCAGTACAGCAGGTACTAAGTAGACAAGTGAAGGAATTAAATGTCAGAAGGGACAACCACCAAGGTCCCTTCTAACCTAACGGAAAGACTGTCACGTGGTACAGGCAGACTGAGGAACAGCGTTAGAAAACCATTGCTTTAGCCACACAGAACACAAGCGAGCATTTCCTGGCTGGTCACAGTTCTGAGTAAACCCTCTGCAGCATACAGGCCCTTCCTGGCTGGCCCTTCCTCTCATCAGGACCTTAAAGAGCCTTTCGGTGTTCTTAGACACTGTATTTACACAGACTGTCACCACCAGGATTGTTTAGTTTCAGCAAGAGGAAAATTATAACATGCCCATGACAAATTGAATTTCTTACACACAGAAACAAAACATAAAACATACTGAAGTAAAACCCAGCTCTGAAAAGGCTCCTGTCCAAAGAAAACCTCATTACAGTAAAATATGTTCCCAGAATAGGTAAGCAACCGTTGACTTCTCCCTCCAGTGATCTCTGAAGTGTTTTGAAGTACAGTCTCCTCTGGCACAGGCACGTGCAACAGCATGCTTACGTTACACATATCCCACGACCTGGGCGATGTGGCCTGGCCTACTTCCTAGCTCCACAGGTTTCAGCACAGCCAAAGACACTTCCTGGCTTTACTGGACCATCCATAGAACACCCAGGTTCTCTCTCCAGTGATAACAAAACAAATGTTATTCCTCTTGGACTAGAGTTTTGCCAGAACACTCCAGCGTACAGTACATTTCCATCTTCCTCACAATATGCTCCCTTACTCTTCAACGAAGCCATAGCAACTCATCTTCAAAACGGTCTTTTAAACAAAACGTGCACCTATCCCATTTGCCCCATGTAGTGGAGTAACAAGGACACAGACTTCGCACAGGAGGCCGTGCAGCAACACTGCTGAAACTCAAATAACTCTGTTCGTTCATTTTAAAGCCTGGAAGTCAATAACTCCTAGGACTTACCATGAATATGAGATGCACACAATTAAAAGAAGGGTGCCCAGACAGGCCACCATGTTTTCATCTCTATGCAGGTCTTGACCAAAGTCAGGCACACATATGGTAACATTCTTCCCGTGTTCATCTAGGACTTGTAAATAACACAAAGTAAATACAATCGTGTTAGAGAAAGGTCCACTATACCTTACAGCATCCGTCTAAGAAGATTCAGGTAGCACTGGCATGACTCCTCCCAACACTGAGCCCTTCACATGGGGACTTCTACTCTATAGTCTGATTCTGCACAGACTGCATTTTGTTAGTTGAACACACTTCTCTCCCACTTCAGCACACATGAGGAATAAGGGCCAGCCCCATCCCTGTTCTAGTTAAGCGTCTGAGGCTGTGAAGACTCAGGACTTAGTCATCCTTGCTTCTTTTACTTAAACTCACTGTTTTTAATTATGACGATGATGTTTTCTTTCTAACTGGAACCAAAGCCTCTGCACAGAGGGGTAGAGCACAGGTCCCCTGGTGTGAAGCCCACTTAGAGACAGTGTAGTCGGTTCCTCAACCAGAGAAGACAGATTACTACAGTCATAAGAAACATGCCTTCTTTTTTGGCCTGTGACCTAGGAACCATCTGAGGTAGTCTAAAATTTCAAAGAAATAAATCAAGAAGCTAGATATGTCTCTATAATACCTCTCTCAGTAGCAATTTGCTTTTTTAAAAAACATAGTGCTTCAGTCATGAATATCTAACTAAATCTTATTGCCAATTTTACCCCAAAACATGGAAGCATATTAATTGTTCTACAAACACACTTTCTGTTTGACGCTAACCTAGAATTATCACTGGCGTTCACCTTGAAAGAGTAAAAAGACCCATGTCGGCTGTGGTTTAAAACCCTCTCTTTTGTAGACCAGTGGAGGAATGATTTTTGTAAGATGGGAATGAAATATAAAATTTATATTTACTACTTAAAATTAAAAATAAAAGTGTTTTACTATGTTTTTAAGCAATACTTGCTATTTTTAAAAAAAAATTCTGAGAACAAAACTTCCATTAGACAATGTTAAGACCCGGGGTAAGCTGGGTCATGAATGAGCTTTTATGTATGTAATTAAACTTGGGATACGCCATACATACTATAAAACCTCCAACTACTACTTAACTATAACTATGAAGATGAGATCCTAGCTGAACATGGGGGCATGTATCAATAACCTCAGCTCTTAGGAGTCCAAGTTAGAAAAACTGCAAGTTCAAGGCCAGCCTGGGCTACATAGTAAGTTCCAGGCCAACTTGATTATATAGTAAGACCCTCTCTCAAAACAAGACAGACCAACAAAAGGTACCTATACCCAAATAATTAGTGCATTTGTTTTCTAAACTTAGTAACTTTTATTTTCTATTTTCGACATTTATTTGATGTATAGATCAAAGATACCTAAACATTCACATACATATACCTGTATGCATATGCATATATGTAAATATATATGCACACCTTATGTATCACAAAAGTGATGAGGATAAAACATAAAAATCTGAGGACTCTAGAATGTAATATTTCTTTTATAGATTAAATTTTTACTGGTGTGGTGGCACATGCCTTCAGTCCCAGCACTTGGAGGGGCAGAGATAGGTAGATTTCTGTGCTTTTGAGTCTAGCCTGGTCTAAATAGGGAGTTCTAGATCAGCCAGAAATATATAACCCTGCCTCTAAAAACTTTCAGAATGATCACTGTTATCCCACATGTAACAGTTCGCACCCCACAGCACCTGCCATGTGCCAACTACTGTTCTGAGTGATGAACACACCATGAACATTGCACTTTGTTCTGAAAACCGCACACTGGACAGAGCTCAGACAGTCTGGTTCCTTTCCCTACATCCTGCTGTCTCTGTTAAATACATGTCATCTAGGACAAGCGCTGAGACTGCCTGCCACCCAGTGACAGATCCAGGTTCCAACTGTGTCTTCTGTTTCCCTCACCTTCACTCTTCCCACCCCTCTCATTGTCAGAGAATAACCTCCTGATGTAGGAAAATAACAAACAAAAATCAAAACCCAACGAAGCCACTCAACAATAAAATAAAGAGGTTCTTGCCAGAGCAGAACAACCGAATGCACCAGAGGCCTAAACACAGCTGCAGAAGCTCATCTCTGGTCATGTCTCTTCTGCACAGCAGGAAGACTCAAAGCATGCTGGGGGCTGGAGAGAGGGCTCAGAGCTTAACAGGCCTTGTTCTTCTTGTACCCATGTCAGGCGGCTCACAGTGGCCTGCAATTAAGCTCCAGAGGGTCATACGCCCTCTTCTGGACTCCTCTGGGGTACCTGCACTCACATATGCATGTACACATGCACATACACACACAATTTAAAAAATGTTTGAAGAGCAGACATTTTCATTTTTGCTGTTAAAGGCTTTATTTAATGACAAAGCACAGATCGCCTTGCTTCTCTGAATTCTCGAACCTTCCATAGCTCAGTAACAGTTCAGCTCTAGGGAATAAAGATATGTGCACTGTCAGCACACACTCCTCAACAGAGCTGCTTACCTTTTTTCCCAGGCTTGCTGGTCAGTGCTGAGAAGGTGAGGTAGGTGACATAGCAGCTTATGAGCCCTGACTGCAGCAGCCCAGAGTGTGGCTGTCCTAGGAACAAGAGACAGACAGAAGACAGGCTCAAAGTCCTGGCAGTAAGACATTATACCCTAAATGGAACCTTCCCACAACCCCTACCCTTAGCCAATAGACGATGCTCCTTAAACTTGGACACCCACCTTTACTAGAGAAAAGGGAACCTAATGAAGTGTTTGTCCAAAAAAAAAAAAATCTAATATTGGGTAGGCAATATGCCTACCCTATTCATGCTATTTTAAAGATGACAAAATCTATCCTACTTCTCCATAAACAACTCTCCAAAACCTATAACATATTTCGACATACTGCCCAGACCCCTGAATGTTTTTTCAATTGCATGTATGTATGTATGTATGTATGTATGTATGTATGTATTATGTATGCAAGTGCACAAGTGCCATAGCACTGTGTGGAAGTCAGAGAACAGTTTGTAGGAGTCAGTTCTCTCTTTCTGTCTAAGGGATTGAACTCAGGTTATCAGACTTAGCAGCAAGCGCCTTCACTAGCTGAGCCATCTCTCTGCCCCTCTCCCTATGAAGTTTATAACATTAGTTCATAAATCACAAGATCAGAAAAAGAAAATCGCCATCATCATCATTTAGTTTGGTGCAACAGACAAATTTCAGAGAACATTCACTGTAGATTGCACAAGGTCCTTAGACAATCCATGAAGCACAAGCGCTGAGCTGTCAAGAGAAAAACAAGACAAAGCAAACCCCACCAACACTGAAACCACTCTTGGCCACACTAAGTACAAGACCTGGTCTAGGCTAACAAGGGAAGCCATGGGACAGGCATTCACTGGGAGAGGGACTTCAAGTACAATATTTAAGTGACAACATAGTGCTGGAATCATCTGGAGCAACTGCGGAATCTAGTGACAAGGGGTCTCTCTTTGCTGAAACGTTCACCACTTGTTGACATGAAAGCATTCAACCTTCCTTCTGGTTAAATTCCTTCTTAAATTGCCATTATTCAATGGTAATTATCAGTAGGAGTACTGTAACAGGCTGTCATAATACTGCTCTCTGCAATGGGAACAAAACACCCTCAGAACAATGTCATTAAGCACATGTCATGGCTGTTTCAGAAGGTGGGATTAACCTCACCCTCCAAAAATTTTAGTCAGCTTACCAATAGCTTGTTTTAAGAAATTCTTTACTCATCAACTGCAGGAACTAGGAGAATAATCGTGTCAATTTCTGTGGTGCATTTAAAAACTTAGTATGGAAAATGTCTTAGTCCTGCTAAAATTATTTGTACTCGCTGCTGCCTTTTTCCTTAAAGGGGAGGAGTCTCACATAGCCCAGGCTGGCCTCAAACCTATGCAGTCAAGGCTGGTTTTAAACTTCTGATCTTCTAGCTTCCATTTCCCAAATACTGTGGTTACAGGAATACATTCTAGAAAGAGATTCAGAGGAGCTATGCATTTATTGTCCATATTTCCTTTTCCTATCCAGAAATTGAAATGGCATGTGTAGAGTAAGATCCTTCAATCAGCAGCAGACTGGGGTCATTCTTACACCTCTGACGACAGCATGTCTCCAGCACACTTGCTAAGATGTCATAGTTTATTAGTAACAACTCGTAGCTCCACTTTCTAAGGTGTCAAAACCCCCACAGTCTCTGCATTTGTGGCTCTCAATATGGCTAAGGCAAGGCCAAGATCATACAGTTCTACTGACTTCAATAAGTACACTCTGGCCACGAGACTGGAAGCAACCAAGCTAGGATGTCCTGCTTCCTGTCTTAGTCAGGTTGCTAGTCACCTAAGACAATCCCAGAAACAGCAACTCTGGGCCCTGCCAGTCAAATTCCAGGAGGACACAATGAGCTTAATTTATACATCTCTTGCTTAACAGAGATTAAATAAGCACATTTCCCACGTAAAGGTTCCCTGTGTGCACTGTCTATCTTTCTACTATTGGCTTAAGTTCAGATCTGTCTGGATACCAAGTAAACCTAGTTACCACCTCCAAATGAGCATGGAATATCAAGAGGAGACTTGAATCCCATCCATAGGAAGTTAAAGAATGACTTGGGTTTTTAAAGAAATCCACTGGGTTTGTTAAAAATCACAAAGGAAAAACATATAGAAGAGAAAAACCATGCTTACGATTCTGGACACAGGGCGAGATGGCTGCCAGAGAGATTAGCACGCATAGGCCACCATGTACTCCCAGGAGAATCTTGTTATCAACGCAGTTGTCCCACTGTGTGTAAAACACTGCCATCAAAGCCAAGCCTCCAACAGCAACAGAATACATGATGAGTGTCGCCAGGGACAGGGAGGCGAACCACAGCTTATTACGGACGGTGCCTGCAGTCCTGTTTCTCCGAGAAGGAGTAAGTGAGGCAGAAGGGAGAGAAAACAGGTCAGTGAAGGCCCCCATTCTCTGGAGCGTTCTATCCCTCAGATACTGACTGATAGGACTGGCCCCAGCAGAGACCCTGGAGCCACAGATCAGAAGACACTTTTAGCAATGACTGCACTCTACCTCAGCTAGAAAGTTCTCACGATTATGCAGGCTCGTTGGCTTAGAATTATCTCTAACCATGAGTTTACTCTCCTGCCCCAAGCATGTTCATCCATCAGCTTTAGCTAGCACTTCTCCACTCTGAATGCTAACGGCCCTGGGGAGCACAGTGGCTGAGGTATGAGGCAAAGATGGTAATTAAGTAGAGTGGACTTCGAGCTTTCTCTGTGAGCACAGAGCCTGGAGCTGCTGCGGTCTCTCTCTCCACGCGCTGCCAGCAGCCCCTCTGAGATCACCCTCACTTGGAGGAGAAGCAAACAGCTCTACTCAAAAAAGCCTGGTCACCCTAGTACATTTCTCTCTGTGCTAAAAACAAGAGCCTGCATCAGGACCACCTCTCCAAACTGAGGAAATACTAAGGGAGAAACATTACAGTGAGTAGAATCAGGGAAAGAGAAGCTGGACAGATGGCTCAGTGGTTAAGTTTACTGCTCTTGCAGAAGACCTGAGTTCAGTTCGAAGCAATGATATCATGCAGCTCACAAGTGCTTATAACCTATAACTTCAGATCCCAGGAATCCAATGCCTCCAGAGGTACTTGCACTCACATGTATATACTCCCAAAAACATAATTTAATAAATCTTTAAAATCAGGAAAAGAAAAGCTGTACTAGGGCTCAGGAGATAGCATGAGAAGCCGAGTGTCACCTAAAAAGCTATGCGCAGTGGAGTGTGCCTGTAACACTGCACTGGGGAGTCAGGAACAGGGAGACTCCTGGTGTGCCCTGGCCATCTAGCCTGGCCTACTTGGAGAGCTGCAGCCCAAAAGGTGCACAGTATCTGAAGAATGACAACTGACGTTATCCTCTCTGGCTTCCACATGCATGCACAAACGTGTTCGCCCCTGTAAGCATGACTATGTACACACATGCACACACAGAGGGGAGAGGAGGGGAGAGGAGGGGAGAGGAGGGGAGAGGAGGGGAGAGGAGGAGAGAGAGGGGAGAGGAGGGGACGGGAGGGGGGTGGGAGGGGAAGGAAGCTCTATAGGACATACCATAAAGAAACTTAAAGAGGAATCTGCCTTGTAGTTTTTATAAATATTAATAAAGAAATGAGAAAGATTAGTGGTGATATAATTCATAGGAATTGTTCAGAACAAAGAAGACGGTGTTTATAAATGCTAAACTGGAGGACACGCTGACTGTCATCTGCCTCATGATGCGGCTGCTCTCAGGGTGAGCAATCACACTCCCACAACCATACTCTCTCAGCCTTCAGAGAAGTGTGAGCTTAATGTTTCCTGAGTGCTGGAAAGTGTTCAAACAACATAGCCAAGACGCTTTCACAGTGGAAAGGTTACTCTTGCAGAGACAGAGAAATAGGATGGAAAGGCCAAGAAGATATGACCATCATAGTCCTGACGCCAAGCCAGGCACTCTGATGGCCTCAGAATTACCTCATGTGAGAGGCGCACAGAGGAAATGAGAAAGAAGAACTTTGGGAGACAAAATGTGATCAACAAGGAAACATGACGCACACACCCAACGTGAGCAGTGACTGGAGGAGGGACAGGGTCTGGCATGCTGGCCTTTGTTTTTTGAGTTGATCTTAGCAGGTGAGGGAGTTTCGACTACATTGGCAGTGCAAGTTAAGTATTCGGCCCTAGCCTCTCTCCTGAGTTCCAGACTCATCTTCCTCATCCTTCTCCCATGTTCAGCCCTCTCCTCTACCTCAGAAAATGGCAACCACACTCTTACTATTGAGGGAACACTGGGGCAGAAACAGAAAACACGAGGCCCACGGGCACGCTCTCCCCCACCTCCACATCTTCATCTCACCTCCAGACACACCTAGACTCAAACTCTGTTCAAATTTTACCAGAATCTAAGCACCGTTGCCAACTGGCTCCAGGCTCTACCCTTCACTTCAGACCACCTCACAGAAGCTTCCTCAGCACGAACCCGTGGACCTCTCTAATCTTTTGCTTTTTAAATTAAGAAAAATCCAGATACAGTGTTCCCTTCAAAACTCTTCTACTCAGCCGGGCAGTGGTGGTACACACCTTTAATCCCAGCACTTGGGAGGCAGAGGCAGGCAGATTTCTGAGTTCGAGGCCAGCCTGGTCTACAGAGTGAGTTCCAGGACAGCCACGGCTATACAGAGAAACCCTGTCTCGAAAAAACAAAACAAAACAAAACAAAACCTCTTCTATTCTCCCAACAGTTCACTTCAAAACCAAAGCTTCACGTCTGGAAACACAACCAAATGACAAGTACTGGCCTAGAAGGGGCAATGCCCTGGGGGCGAGCCTTTCCACTTGCCCTCACACGACTAAGATCTGGGCCCCAGAGATGTCCCTCTGTTCCTTACACAAGGCAGCAAGCTTGAGTTTGAGCAGGTTCTCTCACATGACAGCCTGCTCCCTGCATGCTTAGCAGCATATTTTGCAGGAACAAGCCTTTTATATAACTGCATGCTTCTGTGTTGAGTGTCTACTTATCTATGTCTCCATCACGACCCTATCAGCTCTGCAGAGCAGGCCAGGGCCTATACCCTGCCTTACGGCCGTTGTGTAAGACTGAGAGACACTCTATCTATGTCTCCATCACGACCCTATCAGCTCTGCAGAGCAGGCCAGGGCCTATACCCTGCCTTATGGCCATTGTGTAGGACTGAGAGACACTTGCAGTTACCAAAGAGGCAGCGGTTTGTGCTGTCCCGGCTTCACCTGTACTCCCGATGGCAGGCTTCGGGAGAGTCTACAGACATAACGGAAGAGGACCCCAGGCTGGAAAGTTGGCTGGGCCTGGGCTCAGTGACAGGCAGGGCCAAACTAACCTAACAAAGGCAAATTTAAAATCTCGAATGCTTTCAACATCAATTCTCACTAGCGCCACCTGAATACACACTCTGTCTCTGCTGTCACGTCACAGTTATTTATTTATGAGGGGAGGCATGTGGGGTGGGGGGATCCGTGTGCCTCAGCACATGTGTAGAGGTCAGAGTGTAAGCTATGGAAGTTCCTTCTTTTCACCACATGGATCCCAGGGATTAAACTCAGGTCACCAGGCCTGGTGGCAAGTGCCGTTACCAACTGAGCCATCTGGCCAGCACCTGTACCTTCCATTATTTCAGCTGTGATACAGAAATGACACTTAAAATTGTGAACTGGAGTTAAAAAGCAAAAATAAAATAAAAACCACAACTACTAAACATCCAGTCCAACAAAGCACACCATTTTACAGTACAAAATCTGAAAGTCTGGGGTCAGAGATGCCAGGAAACATTTCTCTGAGTGATATTCCAGAATGGGAAGGACAATAATCTCTGTCCAGCTGATTTGCAGATCCATGGCATGCCTACCTTGTAGCTTTGGAAATCTTCTCTCTTGATATATTTAAAAATGAAATTAAAGACAAGAAAGAAAGAAGAAAGTGCCATCTAGTAATTTGTTTACTAAAATCAGTAACTGTATTTTCTGGATCAGCCCTGAGTCAAATCTACTTAAAACACACACACACATACACACACACACACAGGAGGGGGTGGCAAAAAAGTTAAGAAAGAGAAAACAATGTCAGTGACAGACAGACAGAGATAAAGTAATCGCATTATTAGGTATAAAAGAGAATTACTTGAAAAATAAAGTCAGCTCAGCAGCAAACACTAACCCGGTATCCAAGAAACCAAGATAGATCACCAATACCACCAAACAGACAGACAAACAAATAGACAGACAAGCAAACAAACCAGAGCAATGAAGTGCTTTGCTCAGCACCGCAGAGTCAACATGGCCTTAGCAGAAGGGCTGGATGGCTGTTATTGATAGGTACTCCCTCCTTGGCCTGGGATGTAAATTCTGTTTTCAAGGCACTAAGAGTCTACCATTTTACAGGCAAGACAACCTCCTAGAGCAGGATGCAAGTTTTCCCAATGAAGGGATCCTGTATGTTTTACAACCTTTTTTTTTTTCAAGAAGAAAACTATTTTATCCCAGACTCTTCACAGAAGACCTCCTGCTCCAAAGCATTGTGTCCTTTGTGCTCGTTTTGCTTTTTAACCTTGTAGGAGTGAAGCCTAGACAATGCATGACCAAGGTACAGACATACTCGGCCCACAATCAGCCAGTCACATAGGGTCCACACTGCCAGTCACACAGGGTCCACACTACCAGTCACACAGTGTCCACACAGCCTGCCAGTCACACAGTGTCCACACAGCCTGCCAGTCACACAGGGTCCACACAGCCTGCCAGTCACACAGGGTCCACAAAGCCTGCCAGTCACACAGGGTCCACACAGCCAGGTACATAAGGTAAAACAAGACAGGAGGGCAGAGAGGACAGAAAACAGTATCAGAGAGGAGAAAGTAAAAAGGCCCACACAAAGTGTAATTCAGAGTGGAGTCTTTGTCTGTGGTAGGCAGTTTCTTCAACTCCTACCACAGAGCTTTCCACAAAACACATACCAGTTTTTGTTCCACTTATGTGCAAACTCCACAATCAGGAGGAGCTGGATACAAATGAAGAGGAAGCTCCCCACAGCTCCCACATAGCGCCAGGCTGCAAAAGAACATCACCCAAAGGAAGAGAGGTGAGCACCATGTGCACTTAACTCTAAAGAAAAGAATACTTCTTATTTGTGTTCATCATTCCTCTAACACATTTCATTCCCATACACCCATACATGGTAGATGCTAATCTCAAACACGCCTGATAAACAGGAGATAAACCTGCAAGTCTGTGTGAGTTGATATGATGACGAGTGTCTCTTTGACAGAATCTAGAATCACTACAGAAATGGGCCTACCGGCATGCTTATAGGTAATTATCTTGATTATGTGCATTGAGATTAGAGAATCCATCTTAATTGTCAGGACCACTCCTTGGGCAGCGGAGTCTAGACTATAAACTAGAGACTGATCTGAGCAGCAAACAGATGTGCATTGCTCTTCTTCCTAGACATGTGACCAGCTGCCTCAAACGCCGACTGCCTTGATGCCCCACCATGAACTACGCTCTAGAGTGAACCCTTTCTCCTTTAAGTTGTGTGTGTCCTTGTATTTTATTATGTCAACAGAAAGAGTACTAAGACATTTGTCAAAGCCTCTCCTAACATAAAGGGCCCAGCTGGGATTGGGACATCAGAGTCTGGCCCTGGGAACATCCAAGTCGAACCTCATGCTCTACGAACAGCTGTCTCAATAGATGCAGGAGTACACATAACAGTGGCCTGATTCACAAGCAAAAAGAAATACTGCTAGAAAAACCAACAGTTTAAATCTTACTGGGCAATGAGCCTTAACTATCCAGTACGGAAATGAAGTGCCAAGGGCTCAAGGCTTTGCCATAAAGTATTAGATGAACCACACTGTGTAGGTTGCAGGCTGTCTATAAACAAAGCTAGAGCTGACTGAGGACTCTTAGGTCACCTCTCTCCCTAGATATAGTATCTCCAAGATGCTACAATATACATGAGAGGACCTTGGAATGAATAAAAACTAATTAACAGTGTTATAGATAAAAGGAAGACTTAGAGAAACCATTTTTTAAAGTATATAAAAAACTGATACAGCCTCAAAGATGTATCTAATGAAGCATGGCTGGTACCTATGACCCACATCTCCACTAGAAAAGTCAAAATATTTGGGTTGAATGGAGTGTTTTGAACCTCTTTAATTTAGATTCCATCTCCATTCTTACCTGAGCTCAGAACAAGGCACCCGTTCTTTCCCTTAGAAGGAGCCCTGCTTTAGTTATGATTAGTGACTCTGTGTTACGTATCAGTAAGAATCACTTCACATACATTGAGTTTACACACTGACTAGAGGAGGTTTCCCTTTTCTAGTTTTCGTAAGTAACAACTGTTTCATGCTGCCAGGTCTGTTTCGTACTCAGAGAGAATGAGACTCCTCCATGACAGAGGCATTCTGATGTCCAGATCTGTTTTCAAGCAAATTATTAAAGACGTCCTTTCCTCTCCAAGCCAGTAAGCTTATCATTCCAATTGCTTAGCCAACAGAGGAACAGAGCCTTCTCATGGGCTTCTTGTAAGTAGAGTAGGAGGAAAGGGGAAAGGGGGGGGTGTGGGCAGGTAAAGCTCCTTTACAAAGCTCCCTTAAAACTGTTGGGGCCAAACCCAGGGCATGGCACTTGCTAAGCAAGCACACTACCACTGAGTAAATCCCCAACACCTGGACATCCTTCAACTCATAAACGATTCAGTAGTTCAAAACAGCAAAGACACTGGATCATGCTTTTTAAGAGTTTTACAAAATGTGTCAAAACCAAGTAATTGGGTAGCCCAGAATCCCCAAGCTGTTACCTTCCAGAAAGGTCTTCTGATCTGGAATGAAGAATGCCCCTGAGCACATGGCCCCTAACAGCAGCAATTTAAAGAACCAAAAGCTGGGAAGAGAAAAACAGGAAAGATATTCAAATACTATTCAAAGACGGACAAAAGGTCTCTCAGAAGGTAGCGTGCTAGCTCATGTTTCTGTCATCTGTAGTGTTCTCACCACATCAAGGGGAAGTGATGGAGTGCCCACAGAGTGGCTTTTCCCATAAAGAGGCACACCTGGAATGGCCTCTGATCGTATAAATCTCTACTGCAGGGTGGGATAGAAATAACATGAGAAAGATAGTAGAAACAATCAACTCTGTGTGTGCTGAATTTCGTATTACGACACCAGGCACTGTCGCTCTTAGGCTATCAGTGACATCCAGCCCATCCTCCCCAATCTGTCAAAATGCTAACTAGCTGAATGTCAGGCAATGCGGAAGAGCAGATCCTAGGACACCCTCGGGAGGACAGGAGACTTACCCATTGTGAATATGGGCTCGGCAACTTTTGCTGTTGTTGACTTTTAAGGTCAGCAGGCCAAACAGAAAGAAGAAACAAGCCATTCCAAAGCAGACTCGGTACACGGCAGAATAGCCCACCAGGTTCTCACAGGTGTCGCCGGCTTTAATACCTTTACAGAAGTCTTCAAAAAAGGGAATCTGAGAGAGAAGATACAAAAGCTGCCTGTTAGAACTGGGCTGGAGAAGCTGCCCGTGAGTATTCAGTCTTAAGTCAAAACACATGGTAAAAACGGCATGTGCAAAACAGGACCAAGACTAAACAAAAACTACCTATCCTCTAAAGAGTTTCCGCTGGAGAGACAGCTCAACAGCTGCTCTTTCAGGACCATGGCTCAACTCCCAGCACCTAAATGATGGCTCACTAGGATCTGTAACTCCAGTTCCAGTGAATCTGATGCCTTCTTCTGAGTTTTAAAGTATAAAGACTTTTTCTTAGTTTTCTTTTAAACCCCTTTTCAAAGATATAGTTCCTATAAAAGCACTGTTGTATCTTTATTTACTCCAGGGATTTTCAATATCAGAATTTCCATTGCATTTATAGGACGTAGCTGTATACATCTTGAAATACACAATACATGACATAAAAGTTGAGAAACTGCCTATATAACCACCCCAAATGCCACTGCTTTCTACTGAAGAGTCAATGATTTAGTTGGTAGGGGATTTTTATTCATTCACAAATAAAAATGTCTATATATACATGTATACAACACATATACACATTCATATAGTACTATACACATTCTATATACACAACATTTTTTAAAGATTTGGGGCTGTGGATTTGGCTCAACTGGTAGAGTTACTTACTTATCTAGAGTGCATGAAGCCCTAGAGCGAATCCTGAACATCATATAAAAATCTATGTAAGGTGATATACACCTGTAATTCCAGCACTCAGAAGATACATCTTTCCAGCCTGTCAAGTCTTTCCAGAGAGGGGTGGGTAGAAGGAGGGAGGAAGAGAGGGGAAGACGGAAAGAGAGGGTGAACATTAGAGAGGAAGAGTCGTTCTTGAACACACTGCTGTTTGGGTAGACAGGAAATACAACCAGCCAAGGTCAGAGCACTGAGGAGAGGCAGCACAGTTTGATTTCCTCCACAAACAGAACAGAGGCACTCGGGACCATCACTCTGAGCCATCCCTATCAGAACACCTAGTCACCACTTTGGCGTAGCAATGAAAAGTGGACATAAAGACACAGAAAGCACCCACATGGCGGAGATGACAGAGACCATGTGAGTGGACTCTGGTTTGTTTAAGCCGGGTTGTAATTGAGTGAGCATCCATATGGGTTCAAGTCTTCAGATGGTGAAGCCATGGTGTTATGGAGAATCTTGACTGCTGACTTGATTAGGTTGAGAAACACCTAGGGGACTAGTAAAGCAACTCCCCAAATGCGTGTGAGCATGCGTGCTGGTGAGCTTCAGTTCATGAGGATTCTGATGCAATGGATCAATAAATCCCTTGGTGGATTAATACAATGTCATTGCTGGGAGGTTCTAGAAAGGAGACGGAGCCCAAGTGTGTCGACAAGGAGGTGAGTGGGGGCATATCTCTCGACTGTATTTTTATTTACTTTTGAGAAGTTCATACATTTTAATCATATTCTTCCCATTCCTCCATTTCCACCCAGTTCCTTGTGCCCTCTCTACCCACTTAACTACATTATCATCTCTTCTCTCAAATCAACAACAAGTCCACGGAGCATGGTTTGTGTTGGCAACGACTCTGAGCACTGCGCCTGCTGCAGAAGGTGGGCGACAGACAGACCAGTGTTTCTCCATGGAAGAAAACCGAGTGTCCTCTCCCAGAAGCTATGAGTTCTATCGGCTTCTTGGTTAGAGGTGAGGCTTCCCTGCTTCCCTGTCTCCACACTGGGGCTTTGCCTGAATTAAGTTGGCTTGAGGCTTGTACATGCTCTGAGTCTGTGAGTTCACATATATGAGCTCTGCTCTATCTGGAAAACCTGTTTCCTTGGAGTTAGCCACCACCTTTGGCTCTTACAATCTTTCATGTCCTTGCCTCGGCTGCATCTTGGCCTGGCCTCTCCTGTATGCTCTTTTTCTCTACTTCCCCATGCCAGGCAGAGAACGCACTCCCACAACAGGCCCAGAAACGCTGAACTATGTGACTGCAAATCCTTGGAAATCATGAGCCAGAATGATTCATTTTTCCTGTAAGTTGTGTCTTTCAGGGACTTACTTAGCTGAGTAGCAAAAACGTTTATCAATATAATCAAGATGACTATTTCAGAGCTCTCACCCCAATGGAAGTCACATCTTATGACTACTAGTGACAAGGAATGCTGCTTTATATCAGTAAAATCTGTATGTATAAAGAAGAAACTCAACAACATCCTTTATTAGACTATTTTATTTATAGTTTCTTTCTTTAAAAGATGTATTTTATGCTTGTGGGTGTTTTGGCCACATGTATGCCAGCATTCCACATGTGTGCAATGTCAACAGAGTGCAGAAGAGGCATCAGACATCATGGAACTGCCAGCTGCCTGTGAGTGTCAGGAACGGAACCCCAGTCTCTATGGGAACAACAGATCTTCTAACCACAAAACCAGTGTTTCCACCCCATAACTTGTCAATACTACCAATTGTTGTCTGTCTTTGTTTCCTCTTTTCCTCCCTTCCTTTTCTTATTTCAAGATTTCACCTGTACCCCAAGGGTAACCTTGGTCTAACCCAGGATGACCTTAGTCTAACAGTAATCTACCTGTCTCAGCCTCCGAAGTGCTGGATTACAAAACCTGCCTTTTGCTACTTTGTGTACACCGCCTCACGAACCTGCATACACACTGTAGTATTATGTGCACACTGGCACGTTCCGCAACTACACCAGCCCATCATTCACTGTTACCCTCCTCTCCACTCTCCTACCCTCTTCCTTCCTTCTAGTCTCCCTCTGAACACTGGCAGGTACAGACTTCTCCGCAGCCACTCCCAGAAAACCCCTCCCTTGTTTACTTGAGTCAGGCCCTTCTGTGGCCACAGGCACCCCAAGAACTTCACAGGATGAGTATGTAGCATTGAAAATGTGATCCAAAGTAAAGGTAGGCAAATAACCCCTGTTCCCAACATTAACCAACACTCTTCTATGCTCTGTGGGTGACTCAGCGACACTTAGCTTTCAGTAAGTGCTGAGTATTTTTAGGCAATAGCCTCCAAGCTGAACGAGCCAACAAGGTTTTAACAAGAAGAATTTTCTCTGATTAAATATTTGCTGTTCCAAGTTCTATTCCAGTTTTGGGGAAAGAAAACATACATCACACACAGATTCCATACTTGAGGGTGTTACCTCTTCAGTCTGCTCTGGGCATCCAAGGACATCACACACTGAGTCTGTATTGTTCTGTGCAGGCCTCTGGGAGCAAAGGCTTTTTTCCATCCCACAGAGAAATCAAACTCAAAACCCAAACTGTCAAGTAAGAATAAATGGCTTAGAGGGATTGTGGTCTTGGCTCCACTGCTCATCTGGGCAAGCTTCGGCTCCCCATTCTCAGTCCCCTATCTTTAAAATGAAGTCAGCTCGTAAGTGGCCCAGGAAACTCCTCCAGATAATCCTTGTGAAGGGAGACCTACAGTAGTCAAACTAAACTTAGGCGCTGTGTAAATACAGAAGGAGCTTTCTGGAGAGAGAGTCACTACAAGGACCACTGAACGGTATGTCTGATCTAAACAAGGTAAGGTGGATATCTGAGGTTCCATTCACTGTGTCAAAGCACAGAACCATGCCAACCAGATGAATGGCGCCCGGGCCCTAGTCCCTAAGAACTGAGTTCCAACAAGGGGTCCTAGTCCCTACGAACTGAGTTCCAGCAAGGCATGATGGCACTTGATTCTAGTCCTAGTACTTAAGAAGCTGACACTGGTGTATCACAGGTTAGAAGCCAGCCTGGGACACATAACAAGCTTAAACCAGGCTGACAAAAGTCTCGAAACATGAGGGGCTAGGGACATAGCTCAGTACCATGCATGTGCAAGGCCGGGGATTTGATCTACAGAACTTAACAAAAGGAAACAAAAGTTCCAAAGCATAAACAGAACTCTCAGACATAGAATGCCACCTCCTAAAGGGGAGTCCACTTCCAAGGCATGAGCGGATGTTCCAACCTCAAGTGAAAGAAACTGGAAGCAGCAGCAGGAGATGCTAGCAATGCCCCTGGCATCGTCAAGCTTGGGTAAGTTAATATCAAAAATTGAAAGCAAGAGGAACTGAGGAGACGGCTCATTGCTAAAGTCTCACTATGGTAACTTGAGCACCCAAGTTTGGATCCCCAGCACTCATGTAAGAGCCAGACACTAAGGTACATGCTTTTAATCCCAGCACTGGGGAGGCTGAGTCAGGGGAAAGCCCAAGGTCTGCTGGGTAAGCAGTCTGGCTGAACCAATAGGCTGAAGGCTCCATGAGAGATCCTTTTCAAAACAAGTTGGGGACCAGATGAGGACAGCTAACATCAACCTGGCCGCCTATGTATGTGTACAGATATGCACAAGCACCTACACACAACATGCATACACACGTGGACATGTGCATACATATATGCCATGTGGAAACACACAGACACACAAAACACGGCTACTGAAAGGTCTATTGGTCTCACTGACTCGGGTCCAGATGATGCAAACTTTGGGGAAAAAATAGGTTCTGTGGGAGTGATTCTCACAGAAATGGATGGGAAGATGGGAGTCACACGGCTCAGGGACTGTTATGACCTCAGAGATGTGATATTAGCAAAGCTAATTAGTCTTACATTTCATTCTATCAAATTTCTAGAGCTTCAGATGAAATCATACTGCTGAGAAAGTTCTGGGCAGCTTGGCATGAGTGATAAATTAACTCACAGAAACCAGAAGAGCAAGATCTAAGAATTCTTTTTCATCATCCCTCACTTGGAAAGAATGCTGGAATTGGGGGTGAGGGTGGGGGGTGCGCCTCTCACCTTTAAGTCTCCATTTCAGATTTTCTCTCCCTTAGAATTTCTCTGTGAAGTAATTCTGACAGCACAGTATTAGCCTGTTACCGACCAGGGCACAATAGCTATGAGACAAGAATACTGAGCCAGCCTCCACCCTCTCCTGCACAGAGTGTGTGACCAGGCTTCTTTCCTCAGTATGTTAGC